CGCAACGAAAAGATTAAAAAAATATTTTTAAGATTATTTTGAAATTTATTATATTATTATAATCGAGCGAATATCCGTTCATTGTTGTTTTCCAAACATGCAAAAAGAGAAATTTGTTCCCTATCTTCGAGTCAATTTAAATTTTCTTATATTAGATCCTCCGATTTTATTAAAGATAGTCCATTCCTTTTTAAAAGACGACGTGAAATAATTTCACGTGTAAACGGATATGTGCAAGAGACCGCTGCAGACACAATAATATTATTATAAATAAAATATAATATTTGTATTTTTTTTATATATCATAATTTCTTTAATATAATTTTTAAACAAGGTTGGTAATAAATTTTTAACAAGTGATGATGATTTAATATCACAATGGCATGTAAATCACAATTCAGTATACATATCGTATATCTACAATATCTACAGTATTAATCAGTGCAGCCGCATAATATATTATTTTATTGCGAGGTCATAACAAAATTGTATATGATTCCAAGACATATAACATTTATAAACCACAGTAGAAGTTCATAAATCATTTCACCGCTTAGATGATTTAGAACCGAAAACTCAAATTTATCGCAGCTGCGATTAAGATCGATAATCATTGTTTATTACGTTTACTTAAGTTGAAGTGAGAACAGTACTTGTTTAATAACAGAAGTGACTGTAGCAAAACTACTCGTACTGAATGAGACTGATAAGTCAATGACTTCTTTCTTATTTTGCATAATGTATGATAATCTTCAATTTATTTATATAAATATATAAAAATGCATAAAACACATCTTTGTATTTATATAATTATATATAATATATATATATATATATATATATATGTATATTGTATATAATTATATACTATATAAATACATAATATATAATTATAAAAAATATATACACAAAAATAAATCAACAATTTCATTGCCTCTGAGCCAATGTCTTGGAAAAATACAAGAGTTTGTAAAGGTCTTTTTTTTTAAATATAAAAAATAAATATTTCATGTTCCTAATTCTTTTTATAATAGACGATATAAAGTTTTTATTTATTTACCTTAAACATAGTAAATGATACTTGATAATTTAAATTTTTGATAGATGCGCCATATATCGGAGTTACTCTGTTATACTTTTATCTATATATAGATGGTAAAAATGATCTATTGCGCGATCAAAAATCATGTTAAATCAAAATGGAGTCGTTAATGTTGGAATTGAAATAAAATTGTAATTCGACAAAGGTCGACAAAGTCGCAACGGATGATAATTTAGACATTATTGGGTACGGCTTTTGGAAATATTGTAGTTCCACAATTCGTTACAGGTCACTTTTTTCTCTTTCCTGTCGACATATATAATTTATGGTAGGCATGAAAATATAGGTGAAAATTACGACCACATTGGGGATTGTGTCCTTCATTTTAGTTTTACCTTTCTTGAAAAAATAATGTATTATCCGAATAAGATTACCAGCGGAATATTTCAATCAAGCTGTGAGATTTTTTGTAGCCATTAAAATTGCATTCAGCTCTTATTTTTTAACACTTCTAAAAAATGACTGATGATAAAAAATGAGAATAATCAAATATATTTTGAGTAACAAAATATTCTTTATTTTCATTTTTTTATTTTTAACAACTATAATAATAATAACTAGAGAAATGATGAGAGTCAGCGCAGAAGATAACGCACAAAGGCCAAATATAAACTCGAGTAATTATTTAATAAATATACAAATCAATATTATAAATCAAGTTGACGGAGATTAAATATAGCGTAAAAGAACTAATAAATATTTCGACTCATATTTGAGCCATCTTCAACAAGAGTTGACAGTTGTAGTTTTTTCATGATAACAATTATCATAAACTAATATGCCGTAGTCTTATAGATGAGAAAACTTCTTTCTTTAATTAATTTCTTTCCAAACAATTTCATAGATAGTGCATATATATATATATATATAGGAATCACTTGAATTTGAAAGTTGTAATAATGTTTGCTATAAAAATATTTATCTAAAAAGTTAAAACTAGATTGATAAAATATATGATTTCATTAATATGTATATATTAATGAACAATATATTGATCTCTTTTGCATATGATACTTTTCCTTATCATATGCAATTTTCCTTATCATTGTTGTCATACTTTTCCTTATCATATGCAATTTCCTTATCATTGTATAATTTTCCTTATTTTTTAAATTTGTGTAAACTTAACAGAATTATTTTAAGAATTTTCTAAGATACACATAATTCAAAATTATATAAAGAAATGAAAATAATAACAAAACATATTCATCAAAAATAATAAATATATATTTTTTATGTATATAAGCAATTATACGATATCAAATATAGGTTAAATTTTTGTGGCAATAATAAAAGCTTTCCATTATAGGGGATGTCAAGCATTTAACTATGATTCCATATTTGTTTTTATTGCGGTAATTTAAATAGAGCAATATATAATATTTATTAGATATAATCGATTTTCTAATAAAAAATACTTCCCAATGTTTTCGTTAATAAGTAGTATTAGTATTAAATGACTTACCACACGGTCACAAATTACATTTTGTATTTCTTGCTAATACTTTATAACAGTTTCCAAATTTTCTAAATAATCAATTTAATACCTCAATTTAATATCTTTTTCAAGTGATGGATAGTCATCACGCAAAAAATGGTAACAAACTAATAATTCAAATTGTTCACGACTAATATAATTACAGAAACATGTTATTTCAGAACAATAACATGTTTTATAGATAAATATAATCTTATTTCGTATTTCCATATAAATAAAATACAATAAAATGTCTTAAACTCTATTTTTTTTTATTGATGTGACGTTCGAAGAATGTATAATCTATATCATTTTGCAACGGACTTGGAAAAAAATTCTTTTTTTTCTGTTTTTTTTTAGATTGAATTTCATCATAATATATTCGTTAATAGTTAAAGCGGTTGCAAATCTTTTTCTTGTTTCCTGAAACAAATTATCAATTGTGATGGTTTTCCATTACTACTTAGTTATCAGTTTTCTTCATTTCCTCCATTGAAAATATGGAAATTTTAAAAATAATTAATTTAAATTTTTTTTTCATTTTTTTGCACGCGATGGCGATATATTTTTGCATCAACTTTTTATTTTTTTTTGTTTGTAAGGTAACTATGTCATTTACGTATTTTTTTTTTTTGTCAAGATTGTTTTCATGTTCTCTCTTCCTTAAACGATTTATTCTAGGTTAGTAATAAAGGCTTCGGTCACTCAGTCACAGTTAGTGACTGAGTTCTTCTTTCTCAGTTACTTTCACATGGACACTAAACTTTATGTCATACCAATAATATTTATAGTAAGGACAGGCTGAGAAGGGTAAAAACGTCAATTTATTGAGCGCTTATAATCGTTAGTCCGTTTCAGACAATAAAACACATAATTACTACACTCGTCTTGTGGCACGTTCCTATTTATTACAGATTGTGAGTCTAATTTATAGATTTATTAGTTTATCTTAAGTTGTAAGCTTTTCTGTCATCAAGTGCTTGAGAATATTAGTCGTGTTAAACATTTAAAAGTAATTATAATAATCCTTATAATAACACACATAAAACACCTCTTGGGTCTAATCTTGCAAATAGATACATTCATTTCTTTACATATAATTTGCACCAAGATATCATAAAAAGCTACAATCTGTTTTTATTGGAAAAGTAAATAACTATAAAGCTAAAGTTAATAGAAAATGATAGAATTTGGATAATGATAAATAATTTTAATTCTATCAAAATGCTATCGATCAATAAAGATAATAAAATATGCGCGATTCTCACTATTTTTAATTTAACATTTTTAACTTCCATTTATTTATTTTTTTTACCGTGTGACTTTTATTCTTCGTCCATTAATTTATAACTCATGCGTTTTATCTATTATTTTACGACACATAACATTGAATATGGAAGAATAAATAAAAGTTTTTTTTCTTTTATACTGATAAAAAAAAAGGAAAAACTTGAACAGACAAGGATGACTTGATATGCCCTTCGCGTTGTGCACATCAGAATTATAGTTACGTGAGGCTATGGACATTAATTGGCGGACATCTTCGTTGCTTCGCCAAGTTGGCCTTTAATGATCAGCCCGTAAAAATGTTTTCTATTTTTATTTTTTTACGATGCCATAAACACTTCGCCGCTGAAGGCGCGCGTAGTGCCTGTTGCAGCTTATTTATACGTCACACGGCGATATCTTTCTGTAACATTTATAATTCAAGTTTTCAAGCTGAATAATAAATATGAAAATAAATATAAAAATATGCTCTATACAAATATATGCTCTATATTATATTATTCAGATATGCTTAGCGATTTAAATTTGCGCCTTGAAAATCTCTGATTTGCCACCTTTGATTTTATATATTTTTTTCAACTTTTGTTTGTTCGGAGAACTTTTCACATAGGCCAAAAGCGCCATGATTTATTTTCAGTTGGAAACTTTATCATTTCCAAAAGAGTCGGAATTTCTGGTAGAATATTTAGTTATACTGCAGCACGGCGCCAGTGCGAAGCGCAACCTCTTGATTATAGCACCTGCGGGAAACCTGATGGCACACCGGAGCGCACCCCACAACGTCTCATAACTTTACATAAAATTAGTACCTAAAAGCCCTTCGGCCTCAAGGGCCGCGGAAAGCTCTCGCACCGGCAGAAGTTACGGCCGGCCAGAAGTTCAAACGTTTAATCGGCGAGCATAACATTAGATCCTGGAAACGCGTAATAACATAACCGAGAGATTGCCGGATTTTACTTCAAATGTGATTTAAGAAATTAAATATTCAAATTAAAAAAGAAAATAACAATAATGGATGCTTGTAAAAATAAAAAGAAAGCTTTAGAGATTTTTTTCGCAACTTCCTTAAATTATTTTGATTTTAAAATATGAGGTATTAATATAAGATTGTTGCATATCTGATAAAATTAAAAAAAATCAATCAAAAATCATGTCTTGCTTTAATTTAGATAATAAAAAAGAAATTTGCGAGAATAACTAATAGATATAGTATTTCACGTATTTTCATTTGTTTATAAACTTGTATCATATTTCATTCACGACGATTCATAATGCGTGTTTGACATTTAAGCTTGCGAAACTCTGCGCATCTCGAAACTTGATGTTGAAAAGATAGATTAGAAAAAATAACGTAATTTTATGTGCACGACTGAATGTCTATGATATGTGCTATAGTGTTATATGTGTCACAGTTGTCGCATGACTATGCGTGTACGATATCTCGGTAGGCACACATAAGAGCCATTAATTGCGATTGCATAATATTTACAACGATGTCTTAAATAGCGACTTTATCTCGTTCTTGGGAAGTTCCGCGTGTTGCGGGATACTTACCAGAAAATTCCCAGTGAACAATTAACAGTAACATGATGTCAAGTTGTAATTTTCGACTCAACAATATAAACAGCAATATAACATGTGTATTATGTAACTTTAATTATGTTGCTAAATTATAACATTGACGTTATGGTATTGTTGATTGGGTTGTCAGGACTGTCAGAACGGGTCAGGCCTCGATAAAAAATTTTTCTTCTGTTTTCCCTATTCTTTTTCTTTCCTCATTCTAGGAGGAGAATAAAATAATAGAAATCAAATAAAATCAATAAAAAAGTTCGTATTTTATAACGTCAGTTCTAGTTGTTAAATTATTTTATTACAGCACTCTATGCATTCTTCTATCTATATGTAAAAATATACAACTAATTCTGTTTTAATGCGGGGTCCAAAAAAATTTAGTTGCAGAGCAATCACATAATTACAAATTACTTTTTAATAAGTAAATTTTTATTGAAATGATATTATATATATCATTCATATCTAGGAAAATCGCTTTCAGCTGCATACGCTTTATTCACACATGCCCTTATGTCACGTATTGTCCGTGACTTGGATTTAAATATTTTTAAAAATAATCTTAAAGATAATCTAAATTTCGGTTCGTCGGTTAAAGATTATCTTCGTCGGTTCATCGGTTTAAAAAGATAAATATTTTAAAGATAATCTTTAACCGACGTTTTTATTCGCATGTGTCTAAACTTCAGGATTTTAGACAGGTAAACCATCTAAGTTTTTTTTATTTTCTTTCATTCTGAGTTTCGGTCAAGTTTCTAATAAAAAAAAGGAAAAAAAAAATAAGAAAAAGCTTAGGATGAAAGAGTTATCGGCTTTGTCATCATTTAACTATATTTGTTTTGTTGCGTGTTAGGTTGAAAATTGCTTTGTTGTTTAATAATAAAACTTTAGTTTGAATTTGAAATAAAATAATTAAAAATTTTGCTAGATATAAAAAAATTCTCATGATTCTTGTGATATTTACACAATAATAAAGAAAAGAACAAATGAAATATTATATATTGAGCCATATATTTTGCATAAGATCTGAAATTGATATGCGCACAGAGCAATCTTTTCACCAATCGTTTTCTATTTTTCGAACGAGACGAGGGCCATTTTTGACACGCGCGACAATTCGCTAGAGCAATTATTTTCGATTGATAAATCGAGAAATAATGCATTGTGTTTGTGATAGATTAAATATCATTAAATGACATTTTCGTGAAATGTTTAATTGCTAGTATATACTAAGGTTAGAAGTTATTTTTAAAAGTAAGTAACAGTCACTACTCGTTACTGCTCGTTCTGCAAAGTAACTTATTATCATTATCATTATAAAAAGGAAATATTCAAATAACAATTTCAAAATTGTGTTAGATTTATTTTTTACAAGCATTCTAAGAAATTTAAAAATCAGATATTAAATTCTTATTGTGTTAAAATTCATGATTTCGACAACCTAAAATGATTGTAGAGTAGTTATCCCTGTGAATTTTTTAAAGCCAAGGGAGATATTCTAGAACTATTTGGAACAGATTCCAATCAGAATTATTTTGTTTTTCTTAGAAAAGATAATATTCTAGGAAATTGGAAAAAACTCAACAATTCTGATTGGAATTCATTTCGAACAGTTCTACAAAATATATCTTGATTAAGATATTAGTGGCGCCTTAACTGGGAGCACTGTTAAACTTCATGAAAGTTTCATCGATATTTTTGCATGAATACTACCTTTTACCGATAAAATGGAAAATTATTAAAATTATTAAAATATTAAAGAAATAAATTTTTGTATTTAAACAAAATGATACGAAGCATATTAAATTGTTAAACATTTTTTATTTAAAAAAGAATAATTTTTAGATAAAAGAATGGAAATTTTGAAAACTCATCAACGAAAAAAATAATTTGAAATATATTACATTTTTCAAATTACGTGCAATACAGTACATATACAGCGTAAGATAATTTAAAAATGATTTATTACACAGATTTAATAGCATATTTACATAATTTCATCAATAGTACATTTATTATAAATGAGGCCGTTACATAAACAGACAATTATTTCTCTTCTAATAATGAAGTAACACCATAAAAATTCATAAAACATGATCCTACTACATATCGTATATAAAATTTAACTTTTATATACTATTTTTATATATAATTTCATATGATTAGATATATGTGATAGAAAACTCTTTTATATGGATCGCAAAATTATTTTGGTGTAAAAGAGCTTAATTCGATAATTTGTTACAAATGATTTCATTTATATATAAAGTGTTGCCTATTTACAATTATAGTTGTGTATCCATTAGTTAGTAAAAAGTGATAAAAATAAATAAGTGTATAAAACGTTTGTAAAAGAGTACTTTTAATACAGATCTATTAAATTCATGCTGAATTTTTCATATTTTAAAATATTTCATGTAAAAAATATTAAAGAAGTATGCATAAATGTAATATATAATTTTGTAATAAAAAGTTTTTTCTGAGTTATTTGTTATATAGGCTAAGACATATAATTTAAAATATTATCCCTACTATTTCTTTTAGCAATTGTTGTAGAAGTTAAATCTCTTTTTGTTATAATTATATCACATAATCTTTTTAGATTTTTATCCAAAAAAAAAAAGACAAAATTAGATGCACAAAATTATATAAACAAAAATTATGTTTATCAAAGCACGGTGATTATTGCACTTGGCTGCAATAAAGAAGCTTTAATATTGTGCGCTAATATTACATCGTCTATATCCTAGTAATAATATCTATGAGCGTTAAAGGACTTCTATATATATATATATATACTCCAGAGCAGTCTTTATATCGCTTTATCGTACATTACCTAATGGAAACCATTCAATAATTTCCTTTGTCAAGTCGAGACATCCGAGAGGCAAACTTATACCGCCGAGAAATTCATTCTCCTGTAAAGTATCGTGATTCCAAATCGTTGCTTCAAGCGTTCTCTCTTTGATCACTTCCAGAGGCATTCTATATTCCAACTAGTATAGAAAATATGTAGATAAAACTTATTAT